GGCCGCTCAGGCGACTGTCCCGCGCACAACAACCGACACTACCACCACCTCCCCCGACTCCAGGGTTAGGATCAGGACTACACCTGCCCTCACTGCGACCGTACCTTCACCTCACACATCGGCCTGGTCGGTCACTTGCGAATCTATCGCACAGAGACTGGCGAACCAGTGCGTGAAGCACCAACCTACACCCACCGCCTTCGCCTCCACTGCCCTCGCACCTTCAGGCATCGCATGGGCCTTTTCGGCCACATGCGCATCCACGAGAGCAGCCTTGACCGCACTCCCGACACACCCACCACATCCACCGTGCACACCCCCACCCTCGTTCCATCCGTCCGCACCACCACCACCGCCTCCTCTGTAGCTGACACTGACACCGCCGACTTCTCATGCCCACGCTGTCCACGCACATTCACCTCACGCATCGGCCTGGTCGGTCACTTGCGAATCCATCGCACAGAGACTGGCGAACCTGTGCCTGGAGCACCCACCTATACCCACAAAGCTCGTCTCAACTGCCTACAATGCCCTCGCACTTTCAAGCATCGCATGGGCCTATTCGGCCACGTGCGCATCCACGACACCTGCGGTAGACAATCTCATGAAATACTGGCCAGAATTCTGAAATGCATTTCCGACTAGGAAGAACTATTTGGACGGATTTATAATACCGATTATCATGAGGCATAATTCTATAACATTTCAGACTCGGTAGGATGTCGGCTTTTGAATAAACTTCCTTTCGACCTCCTGTAGAAACCGTGGTCGGAAAGGAATGACTACTTAATTAGCATGAATTTTTCCCATTGATTTTCGATGGTCTAGTAAATTCAAATATATTTCATAAAAACGTTGACAAAAATGCCTTCTTTTACTAAATTGATAGAAAATCATGTCAACTTTATATTGTATACTTGAAGAAGGAGTATAATTAAGCCTCAAAAAAGTTTCTTATTATGAAATTTCATAAGACTGTGCAATGCTCATCCACACAGCATCGTACCTGTTCGTTTACCACTGTTCCTCACTAATGCACTAACGCAACGGCTGATCAGGCCCCAAATTATTGGGGAATTAGAGAACTTTTTTAAAACCTAATTATACTCCTTCTTCAAGTA